AGAAAGTATTGTTGAAGTTAACGCTCGTTGTTATAGCGTTTGTTATAGAGCGACTGTTGAAAATAAGTGTATCGGTAAAGTTATATTCAGAAAGAATAAACCAGTTTTATTAAGAAAGGACTTGTGTCGCTAAACTTTCGTGGGAACGAAGTTACGGAAAATCAATTAACAAACGGAGACGTAACAATATTAACTACGTGACCAAGATTAGTTTCATGAATATATGAACAAACGAAACTACCAACGTATGAAGTTCCTACATGTCCAGTCTGTAGAACTTTGCCATATATTTTCATATAAAACATTAAATGTAGTTTATTAATCTACCTGTACTTGTTGCGAGCAAGGTTTCATTGGTTCAAGTACAAGAAAATTGCTGATGTGAGTGAATGCCGAATAAATTAAGTGTACTGGAGAACGCCCTAGATAACGTAGCATACTGTCTCATTCAAATTATCTGAAATCTGAACAAAAATAAAGCCTCTGTATAAAAGAGAGCTTACTCATTCATAAGATGAGGCCGAAAATGAACTAGAATAGTTCAGTTGATAAATTTCTGTTTGTTTTTAACTTTAAGGAATCTTTTCGCCTACCGATCTTCATGTTAAAGTTTGTTTAGTCTTACATGATTTAGCATTTGTACCTTAGTGACCGGCATCTACTATTTGGGCAATAACTGGAAGGGCTAGTTATGGTTAGTCTTGCATTTCTTGTGCAGTTATATTTCCTTTAAAATTATGTCGCTTTGTTCGATATCCTTTACCGATGGTTTCAAATTAGAGGTTTTTATACGATTCCCTATATTTGGGTTGGAATGTCCAAGGTTCGAGCTCGCGGCATGCCACTGAACACACCCTGCAATTTCAGCTGTAGGCACGTAATAAAATTTACAGTCAGTATCACTATTTTCATGTAGGCGGAGTGTGTTACTGACTTGTTTGCCTTCCTCTGTTCCGCAGTTCTAAGTTAAGTACGGCTAAACCAAAACCGTAGAAAACTCTGACCTGGCCATTTGACCCATGTGAAGCATGACGTCCGTTCTAGTTCAAGGTACCATAAACCGTTGCTTTATTTGTTTTTATCATTATTTTCGTCTTTTGTTTAATTTGATATTTATGTTTATTTGTTAACAAAACTAAATAAGTCTCTGTTATCTCAATAATTTTTACGAATGTTAAAATTAAGTTTTTATAATTGTTTTCACTCCTTAATATAGTTAGAAAGTAAAACGAAATTATATTTTAAAGAAATACCGTGGTTGTTTAAAGTAGCTTGTAACGTCAACTTCTCCAAAATACGTGACTAGTATTACGCGGGCGGCATCTAGTGGTAACAATGTAAACTAAAATTACCTTTTATGAGGATTTTGGATAGGTTTGAAAAATAGATGTTTTTAGAATCACATTGATTTTTATTTGGTAGTATTCTAAGTTAAAACCAACATGTTGCTTTAAAAACACCTTTTATGTTACATACAGAAACATTAACTTATGTAGAACTAGAAGTTTTGATACTGTAACTTTGCAAAACGTTAATGTTTTTGTTTTGAATTTCGCGCAAACCTACACGAGAGCTATCTGCGCTAGTCGCCCCTAATTTAGCAGTGAAAGACTAGAGGGGAGGCAGCTAGTTATCACCACCCACCGCCAACTCTTGGGTTACTCTTTCACCAACGACTAGTTTACCCTCTTGGTAAGCCTAATTTCTCTATGTGTGTTAGTGAATATTACTATTGACAAGAATCATTTCCTCTTGGTAAACCTAATTCATCTATGTGTATTAGTGAATATTACTATTGACAAGAATCATTCCCTCTTGGTAAACCTAATTCATCTATGTGTGTTAGTGAATATTACTATTGACAAGAATCATTCCCTCTTGGTAAACCTAATTCATCTATGTGTGTTAGTGAATATTACTATTGACAAGAATCATTCCCTCTTGGTAAACCTAATTCATCTATGTGTGTTAGTGAATATTACTATTGACAAGAATCATTTCCTCTTGTTAAACCTAATTCATCTATATGTATTAGTGAATATTACTGCAATATGCTTAAACAATTATAACTGTACTATTCTTAATCTAATCTATGAAACACTAAACAAGAGTTATAGTTCTTAGTAAATCGAGGTTATTTTTTTCACTCTAATTTATGGACGAGTATTGTATATGTATACATAAAAACATATTTTACGGGCATTATTCGTAAATATTAATAGTAGCTACAAATACCTAAACATTATTACGGAATCGGAAGACCATTATGCCCAAATGGTGCATATATTTACTATAATAAAATATATCAACTTGTATCAGAAAAATGTCCCTAAAAGATTAGACTTAAAAAGCTATGCAATTGAAGTCATTCCAGTGAGTCATCGGTAAGTTTACTGATTTACAGTGTTACATTCCGAGGTTAGATTCCCGCAGTGGACAGAGAATCGGCAATGAGAAAATATCTGTTCTGTCCACATGACGTAGTCCTATGTTTACATTACTGGTGCACTAAAATAAGGAAAGAAACTAACAATTACATGAAATAGGTTAATCATTAACTTTCAACTTAATATGGATGGCAGAAATGTAACTTATCATATAAGAAACATGTCCGATCTTAATCTTTCTGACAATCGTGCATATCGATCATTGACATGCTGTGGACTTTCTGCTGCAAAAGGCTCCATCGTAACACTATCTTGTCCAAAGCACATACAGTAGGGAGGAACCTACTGCATTTCTATCTAGTGTCGGAAGACAGCGGTTTTCCAGCGTCAGATTAAAAAGTCTGATCACACTGAAACCAAACCATAGGTGCTGTGTCCGGCGACATTACTAGTATGTCTTTGTATGGAATACCATGAATACCTGTTTAATTCTTCAGTTGAACGTTGAAGCAAATTGTGTACAAGTGACTTTTACAAACGAGTTCCTCCTTGATTATGATGCGTATTGTTGCCTGAGCCACGTGGAAGGTTTTTGATATATATATCTTTGTGGCTGTAGATTCTCACATGTTACAAACTCCACACTCTGCTTACGATGGCTGGGGTACGACTTGACGCAGGTCTCTTTCTAAGTAGTCCTGGTGACCCATGTTGATCCATATTCCTTTGTTTTCTAAGGTAGAGGGTTCTTCCAGTCTTGGAAATTCTAAATCACCGATTTGAGCATCCTATTATGATATGAGTATGTGAAAATTTTGTGTCAGAAAAGGTCATTACTTTCCCTTCCCAAAAGTGATTAATTATCGGTGGAATCACACAACCTATGAAATACCAAAGAATGTCAAATTGTAGTTCTAATACATTCGGTTGCACTGGGATTTTATATCGGCTGCTTTTCATGTGACGTTCTGATTTCCATAATCAAAATTGTTTCAACATAACATTCGGACATTTGGTCAAGTTTATGTCCTAGAAGGAGATCTAAAATACAGCCAGATAATTCACTTTTTCAGTTACCGTAAAAAACAATTACTAAAATATGTCCATTGAATTCTAGACTATTTACGGTAGTAAGGGGATAAGTTCCCCATTGAGTCAGTTACTCTAATGTGTAAGCAGCTGGTGAGTTTGAACGTAATAAACACAACATTAAAGTCAGTGTAAGATGCAAAGTTGTTTTGTTTTTCTAGGCAAGTGTTCCAGAGTCAGGTAGTTAAAGTATTTTACATAGAAAATGTGTAGTTTCACCCATATACTTGTCAGTTCTTTACACTTTGCAATAGGCAAAAACCTTAAAATTACTCAATATGGTACAAACGGCATGAAAAGAAGTCAGCAAACATAGGGTTGAGGGATAATCAGAATTTTTTAACATTGTACGTATGACAAGGGCACAACTGCTATTATTAAATAATGACAATGACACTTCAGAGTTAATTTTTATGTGAAATAAGTACCAGGTAACCATCAGGTGACCAGTCATGTGATGTAAAATGCATACTATTAGATTCCATGCCCACAAATGTTAATTTGACATTACAGACTTCGCAATCCAGTAAGTGATCAAAAACATTTGTTAAAAACTGGCGATCCACATAACAAACATCTGCTCACACAATTTGCAGCACCCCACAGATGATCATCTCTTCACACAATTTGCAGCACCCCACTGATGATCATCTCTTCACACAATTTGCAGCACCCACTGATGATCATCTCTTACACAATTTGCAGCACCCTACAGATGATCATCTCTTCACACAATTTGCAGCACCCTACAGATGATCATCTCTTCACACAATTTGCAGCACCTCACAGATGATCATCTCTTCACACAATTTGCAGCACCCCACAGATGATCATCTCTTCACACAATTTGCAGCACCCCACAGATGATTATCTCTTCACACAATTTGGAGCACCCCACTGATGATCATCTCTTCTTCCACTACTAGAAGCATATTTTTGAAATATCTGTCCTCTAGCGGGTCTACTTTGTGAACCTATGACGTCATGTGACCTGACAGAATATTCCAGCTTTGATCTCCACCTCACTGATGACCCCCCCCCCCACTGGGATTCCTAACTAGTCATGTCAGCCACTGTACAATTCCCACTGTTCTTCACGCGATAAAATATTCATTGTTCGTGTTAATGAGATCCACTACACATACATATATTTAATTTCCACTTCACACGTGGCTATATTCACTGCAGGTGCTCAGTATTCTTTACGCATATATACTACCACAACACACACAGAAATACGGCTATATCCACTGCAGGTGTCAGTGTTCTTTACACATATATATACTACCACAACACACACAGAAATACGGCTATATCCACTTCAGGTGTTCAGTGTTCTTTACACATATATATACTACCACAACACACACAGAAATACGGCTATATCCACTGCAGGTGTTCAGTGTTCTTTACACATATATACTACCACAACACACACAGAAATACGTCCGATAAAACTTAATTGACCTAGATTTATCTCATTAAAGTTTGAGAAGACAAACGGTAAGAGTTGATATTACTTACGAGATAAATGGAATCAGTGGTGTGAGAAAGCCTTTCTTGAATGCTTCTGTACAAAGTGAGTTGCAGTTAAAACTTGTCAACACACGTGATTTAAGTAGATCGTTTCACCTGAGAAAAAGAAGACACGTTTTAATAAAGATTTTAGTTTTATTGTTGCTGTGTTCACTATAATACATTGTTTTTTTGTACTTGTGGAAAAGCGACAAATTTCATATAATTTTGTTGTTTATATAATTTTGCTGTTAAACACAAAGCTTCACAATGATCTGTTTCTGCACACCGCGAGAAACGAAACCCGATTCTTACCGTTATAAGCCCCCCCAGACTTGCCGCTGAGCCACTGGAGGCCTTTCGTTTAGCTTGTTTGTTAGTATTTAAGCACAAAGCTACACAATGGGCTATCC